AAATTGGCCATAAAACATGCATCACACAACCTTAGTTAAGTTGGGCTCATGTGACCTGACCTGTGACCCTTGGTGACCTGACCTGTGACCTGACCTGGTATTGTCAGTGACCTCTAATAGCAACATATCTACTAGGCAACTGACGCCCTATCGCTGATTATCGACAATTTCCTCGGTGTTATAGCGCATTCCCTAGCAGACCCGTGAACGGTGAAACATTTCATCTTTGACCTGACCTGTGACGTCATCGGTGACCCCGAGGTCAATGAAATTTGGTTTCCTTCGACAAATTTGACAGGCCTTTCGAACGCCGTTTGAATTTTGCGGATCCGTCCAGTAGTTTCTGAGATACGGGGGGGGGCAAAAAATAGCCCCCCCCCCACCAGGTCGCGTTATAAACAGACCCCACCAGGGCGCGGGTTAAAACTTTTCGGCGATCGCCGCTGGGCGAACACTTTATCGCCCATAATAGGAGGCTATACAGTATACGAGCTGCCTTCTTCAAAGTCCGTCCCTTGGCTACCACTTCTAGTGGGGTAGGTAGGTATCTCGTGTGGCGTCAGAACTGACTATGAAAATCCAGCTCGTACAAAGCCTCCCATGCAGGGTTGTATACGACTCAATCAATAGCAATCAATTCAATCACGACAAATTTGGGAAACCAATCAAATCAATCAAGTCAGAGCAGTTTTCGGGAAATGATTCAATCGACTCAAACGCGACAATGAAAGGAATCAATCAACTCAATCAAACGACTCAAACCAAGATATACATTAGGTTTTTTGCCCCACCAACTTGGAAAAGTGTCCATAGCAGTCTGGTGTACCTACCTACCTACCTACCTACCTACCTACCTACCTACCTACAGAAGAAACATAAAAATATTGTCATTTAAAATTATAAATTGCCATGCCATTCAAAGTTTCTATGTAATAAGGAAGGATACCGAGTGATGGACAGGTGGATCATGATATTGAGGTTTAATGGGTAGAATTGGAGCAGAATTTTCATTTAATGGGTGCAAAATAACCCAGTAGTTGACTTCAACAAACGCCCCTTAACCCAAATCACCACCTTTCACCTAAAAGTTGTCAATTTAATTTTGGCCATATTCCAGCTAAGTCATCAGGCCATCTACCTCATGTAAAGCCCCCGTCTGTCTCTTATGTGAGTTATGCGGAGCTCTTCTGAATTGAACCCTGAACATAATGAACCTAGCTAGGTTTCATGCCACACTGACACCATATGAAAGTGTTGAAAATGTGCTACAAATTTGAACAGTACCAACGAAGGTAGATAGGTTATATGTGAAGAATTCAAAACATTTTATTGCAATACAATTTGAAACTGTTAGGACTGGGGGATAGGGATGAGCATTAAAAATATATTTAAAAGGAAATGGAAAGGACAGGGACTCTGGAACCACAGGATAAGTTAAAGACAAAGGAAGTAGGTACAACGAAAATTAAAACGCGAAAACGGCACGGTGCGACTGCGAAAAAAACAAAGAAAACGTTTTGCCGATAAGTATGTATGCTAAGCTTTTATAAATCCTTATTCTACGTCTTTTGATTTTTTGGTAAGATGACGTCATTGGTTATCATGTAGTATGGTAGATCATCATAAAATAAATTGGTTGTACAACACTAATTTCGTTTTAATTATTATTTCATTTGAAATAAAACCACTTAATAATATTCGGTAAAATATTTTAAGGAAAATGAAATATATTAAATATGTTATGCTTAGGCTCTCAGGAGAAAAGGATCAACAAACGTTCTGCTGCAAATAAAACAATGCAGCAAATTAGCTATTAATTTACGTAAACGTAATTAGCGAGACGAAAACGACGCTTTTGTTTCAGTTATTTTTGTAGGGGTTTCAGATATTTATAGAGTTCAGTGGGTTGTTTCTGAGGAGATGTGGAGATGTGAATTATTAATTAATCACACTTTATTAGTATATAGGGCCTTGCACTTTATAGGGCCTTGGCCTTATAGGGCCTTGGCCTATAGGGCCTTGGCCAGGTTCTATCACAGGATTGGAGCAGTTATTGCAGTTGAAAGTCAAAGTTGGCTGTTCATGTTTAGGCCCTGTTCTTTATTTGGCCATCTACCCCATATTGCAGTTGTGATGACAAGCAGTTTTCAGTGTAGTTTTGTGATCTTTGATGTCATCAATTGGTGTCATTATTTTTCGTCAACTAAAACTTATTTAAACTTTCCATTCAATCGACTCAATCATACGAGTCACTCTAATTTTCGGGAATCAAATCAGTCAACCAGTCGCTAAAGTCAAACGAGTCAGTCAACCAGTCATCTCGAAAAGTCAATCGACTCAATCCAATCAACTCAAAATACGCGTTGAATCAAATCAATCAATTCAATCGACTTGATTGGTATACAACCCTGCTCCCATGTTGAATAAAACATTTCAAATACAGCGATAGAATCCGTGGTATTTGATCAACCACACAGCAGCTTCTGCCCCTGTAAAAGACAAAAAATCAAAGGAATTGGCAGCTATGGCAAAATGTGGTGGTCGGTAATTTTTGGCATTCATCTGATAGGCACCTGTTGCCTGTCACGTGTATAACAAACAAATAAGCAATAAATAAAAACAGCAAAGTACCTTAGTTATGAAATAAATAGAGGACCTTGAACAAAAAAAAAAATAGCTATAAATAGTTACGACGGAATATGTGTCCAACGGATGAGCTTTATGCATTTACCTACAAATAACTTAGTACAGATGGTATAGTACTTATATTGTCTGGTAAAGTAGAGGGAAATATGAAATTCACTGGTAAAGGGGCCTGTCCCTGTAGAGGTGCCGCTCGGTCATCACTCAACAATCAGCATTCTAAACTATCGGGCAGTTTTGACATCATTCACCATCTTCTTTCTGCTGGCGATATTGTAGCCGTTTTCACGACGGGCTATATGGCGAATGCACCTAATTTGACAAAACCTGTACCAAGTTTCTTTTACAACAAATATTTTCATATCATGATTTTATTTCAGTGTTTCAATGGATAACAATGTCTGATAATTTGACAAAGCAGGCATATAATCAACAAGTGCAGCCCTGGCTGATAGCTACTAAGAAACATACCGAACCTTATTTGACCAAATATGCACCACATGGGCACCAACAGGTAGCCGTCGTGAAAACGGCTATCTGGCGCACATCTATCTTGTCGAATGTCGATATAATTCATCGCGCTATTTTTATTCGTTGGCAGGCAGCTGTGGAAAAGAAGCACGGCTCTGTTTAAACCTCCGAGCCATCCGGGCGAGTGTAAACATTCACCCCAGAGGGAAACAAACCGAGGGGAGCTGCCGGCGGCGCCCTGGCCGAGCAGCCGCCGGAGGTACTACTGCGGTGCCTCGTGACTGCAGCGCAGCCGTCCGAGACACCCACTGAAACACCAGCGCACACCGCCACTCGGAGCCCACAGGGACGGCCGCCGACAGACAGTCGACTGCACTCCTGCCTTTATCATTTCCTGGGTAGGGAGAGTAAGGGAAGTTAGGAATAAAGAAAATTATTAACTCGCGCCCCACAGGAGGGGGGGGGGGCTATTCATAGCCACCCCTCCCGTTTTTAATAACTTCCAAACCGCTTGACGTACCGACGCCAATCTTTCAGTACCTTCGGCTGTATCAATTTGACACCTTGTGTCAAAATATGAATTTCGTAACTACCATAGGTAGGCGGGAAATGACGTCAGAGTGACGTCATGTTCGGCCGATTTCGACGCAAAACGTCGAACCACGGCAATCGCTCCCAAGAGCTCAGTTTTTAAGCTAGATCCAATTTCTTTGCATGAGAGGACGCAGAATAGACTGCGCTAGCAAACTGCTATCTCTGATTTTCAAAATTTTAAAATTTTGAAAATTATATTTAATAAAATTCAAAATTATACCTTAATATCTTTTTCAAAAACTTGTGACTTTACAAAGAACGGTATATATGTGATAGAACACATGCTTTTGACTTACTCTAGAAACATCGTACACCAATATAAATAGCATCATCATTCATCGTGCTCCTAAGCTCAAAGTGCATCCGATAGACACCTTTTTTGTTGAAAATTTTAACTTCAAAATTTGACCTTTTTTGACCTGAAAGTGACCTGCCCAAGCTAAATTCAACTCAAAATGACCTCAAATGACACAAACGACGTCAAATTCGAATGCGTCACGTGACCAATACATGATATACAATTTTCGTGACTAAGGATGACCTGGCCTTGACCTAAAAATCCGAAGTAAAAGTTCGGTACCATCAGGGTATCAAGGCATAGGTATATCAAGGGGCGCGTTAACAAAAAAAAAGAGCCTGATTGGAGTTGTTAGCCGGCGGCCAGAGGCTAAATTGTGAACAAGCCGAAATGCTGATATTTTTGTGTTATACTCGCTGTTATTAGCGCATTCCTAGAAGACCCGTGAACGGTGAAACATTTCATCTTTGACCTGACCTGTGACGTCATCGGTGACCCGAGGTCAATGAAATTGGAGTTGCCCCGACAAATGTGACGGGGCTATCAGACGCCGTTTAAATCTTACGGATCCGTCCAGTAGTTTCGGAGATACGAGGGAGGCAAAAAATGCCCCCCCCCCCCCTTCACCGCGCGGAAGGTGGCCAGGAGGCCCACCGCCTGCCGGTTAAGGTTTCCTAGACCCCAACATTTAAAAATTGACTTTTAAACACCGAGTGAGATCACAACTAGTCCGCAGTCTTTTAATTGAAGCACTTGCGCTTGCCGCTTGGAATAAAGAAGTAACTACATGTATATAGCAGAAAAAAGGAAGGCAAATCAAAGGACGTACTATTTTTCTTGGCTGAGTTTACCAGGGAAGTGTCTCAGGGCCCTGGTACGACGAAACTGACCTCTGTTATGTGGTTGTCAGGTGTATTGATATAAACATGACTATTATTGTTATCATAAAAATGTTTTCGAGGCGGTGGCGAACAGTGAGCAGCTAAACACCCACCATGAGAATCTGCGTGTAGAGTCCGTGATCGCCATCCTGTACGCGGTCCAGAAGAGCGGCCGCCGAGCCGCTCTCTGAGAACACGGGACCGTCTCCGATCGGCACCCAGCCGCGCGGCGACTGAGACTGGTACACCTGTCAGAGAGCCAAACATCCGTCAGTGACTGGTACACCTGTCAGAAAGCGAAACATCCGTCAGTGACTGGTACACTGTCAGTGAGTGGTGTCTGGTACACCTGTCAGAGAGCCAAACATCCGTCAGTGACTGGTACACCTGTCAGAGAGCCAAACATCCGTCAGTGACTGGTACACCTGTCAGAAAGCGAAACATCCGTCAGTGACTGGTACACTGTCAGTGAGTGGTGTCTGGTACACCTGTCAGAGAGCCAAACATCCGTCAGTGACTGGTACACCTGTCAGAGAGCCAAACATCCGTCAGTGACTGGTACACCTGTCAGAGAGCCAAACATCCGTCAGTGACTGGTACACCTGTCAGAAAGCGAAACATCCGTCAGTGACTGGTACACTGTCAGTGTCTGGTACACTGTCAGTGACTGGTACACTGTCAGTGACTGGTACACCTGTCAGAAAGCGAAACATCCGTCAGTGACTGGTACACCTGTCAGAGAGCCAAACATCCGTCAGTGACTGGTACACCTGTCAGAGAGCCAAACATCCGTCGGTGACTGGTACACCTGTCAGAGAGCCAAACATCCGTCAGTGACTGGTACACCTGTCAGAAAGCGAGACATCCGTCAGTGACTGGTACACTGTCAGTGTCTGGTACACTGTCAGTGAGTGGTACACTGGTACACTGTCAGTGTCTGGTACACTGTCAGTGAGTGGTACACTGGTATACTGTCAGTGTCTGGTACACTGTCAGTGTCTGGTACACTGTCAGTGTCTGGTACACTGTCAGTGACTGGTACACTGGAACACTGTCAGTGACTGGTACAATGTCAGTGTCTGGTACACTGTCAGTGTCTGGTACACTGGTACCCTGGTACACTGTCAGTGAGTGGTACACTGATACACTGTCAGTGTCTGTCAGTGTCTGGTACACTGTCAGTGACTGGCACACTGTCAGTGACTGGTACCCTGTCAGTGTCTGGTACACCGCAGAGTGGTAGCTGAGGCGACACCCACCGTTCGGCAGCGCCAGCTGGGCGCCGAGCAGACGGAGACGTGGCTGACGTTCTGCCGCCGGTTGTACCAGGTGACGGACGCCCGCGAGTTGTCCAGCCACCGGACTCCGGCCGCGTACAGCTCACTGCAGGCACGGAATCGGTCACTGATGACCAGTACAGCTCACTGCAGGCACGGAATCGGTCACTGATGACCAGTACAGCTCACTGCACGGACGGAATAGGTCACTGATGACCAGTACAGCTCACTGCAGGCACGGAATAGCCGTCACTGATGACCAGTACAGCTCACTGCACGGACGGAATAGGTCACTGATGACCAGTACAGCTCACTGCACGGACGGAATAGGTCACTGATGACCAGTACAGCTCACTGCACGGACGGAATCGGTCACTGATGACCAGTACAGCTCACTGGGGACGGGGAACTGACGGGGTACAGTAGGGTGGCACTAAAACGGGGCTAAAATTTCGTTTTGAGAATTTTCAACGGGACGGGCAGCCAATCTGTTCTACCACCCGAGAAAACGTTGCGTGTAAAATATTTTTGGAAAATATGTTTATTTAGAGGTAGCTCAACCAGGTCAAATTTCACATTTTTGTGAAAAACAGAGGCCTCTTGCACCAAAATCCTCTTGCACCAATGCTTGGATTATTTTGCATCGCGTATCCAATCGAAGACTCAAATGTGACAATGTACATGTAAAAATTACCAAGCACTTGTAGGATTATGTATTGGGCTATTGCAAACAAATTTACCACCGTTAGATTACCTTATTCTGAAACCGGTTTTTCGATTTTACCTAGCTAGGTAGTTTGGTGCAAGAGGCCTCAGAACTTTGCCGAAATTTTAATTTCCACGCGTATTTCTGATGTTCACAATGACATTGGACGTTGCCAAGCCTTTATTGAAACGTTTCAGCACCTAAAGCTCAGATATATAGGTACATATCGACACTTTTTTAAACCCCACATTTGTTCTCCGGTGAATTTCAGACAAGTTGGTTAGAACAGCTCCGTGGGGACGGGGACGGGGAATGGGCCGGGGGCGGGGCCGGGGCGCGGTGATGGCTGTCGGTCAAAAGTCAGTCAGATGGTGTTCGGCCCATTACCCCTGGGTGGTGACATTACCCCTCTCGAGCTTCTCCAATGTTTCCGATGTCGGGACACAGCGCTACCAGCGCCGGATGTTGCCAGTGCTCGGCGACTGGCGGCCACTCTCTGAGCCACCGGACCATGGCGCGGCCAGCAGTGACTGTCCTCTGCTGGCCGGATCATCGGCGGCGCCACAGGCACTCCCCGGCCGAGCCCGGACCGCATGGTCAGACAGACAGGGCCGAGTGGATCCCACCCACCAGCCATTTCAGCCGCAACGTCCCGCACCCGGGCCGGGCCGACATTCGCTCTGGAAGGCCAGTGATGAGCCTGCTCTGCGATACACCAAGTAAATATGGGTTGACGTTGCCGTATAAAATAGTGTCTTTTTTGTGAGCGTTTGGCTTCAACACTATAAAACCCGGCAGTTGCTGGGGTATCTCGGCACCCGCCGTTTACTAGGGGGAAGAGGGCGTTAAACGCCCCTAGCCGATAGCTCGAGAACCAATCGCCGCAGCGGAAGGTGCGGGGCGGCAAACGAAGGAACGCGACAGTACGCCGCTGATGAGTACAAAGTTCAATTTCGTAGTCACAGGTCGGGTCAAGATCAGGTCAAATACCTGAAATTGGGTTTTCAGTAGCACGGACTTAAGCACATCGCACTGGTCGCCTCTCGTCACTAACTCTGTCAAAACTGTACGCAGTCTTTCATTTTGGAGCTACACGAGTGTAGGATCCATGTACCTAGGGGTCAGTCAAGCGTAGGTCAGGGTCAAGGTCAGGTCAACCAGATAAGAACATGACCTCGAAAATGAAAATTGGCATCCCAGCATATGACCACTTTTTATGGGTACTTTAACTACTTTTAAGCGGTGACATTCATGTTATCATAAGAGTACGTGTTTGGTAGAAATAACTAATCTAAGATAGGCATAAGACTAGACATGTCAATCGGATACCAACTTTTTGGTAAACGGATACCAAAGCGATACGAACTTGGTATTTGATATTTCAATCCTATTGTTTTTGGCATTTTCTTGGTATTATGCATCCTCAGCAATGTATAAGAGGCTGACAAAGTTGGTATTTTCCTGGTATTCCCAACTTGGTTCGGTTTCGGTATTTTCCATGGTTTTGGTTGGTATTTGGCTTGGTATCGGTATCCTGATTTTCTGTAATTGACATCACTAATAGGTATAGAGCAGACATGCATCATGGTCGTGAAGTAGTCACGAGAAATTGCCAAGACTTACCTCAAGATTTTGGAAAATGTGGAACGATAATGGAAAATCGAAGATAGCCAATTGATTTAGGCAGTCAAATGGCGTTTACGGCATGCCTGTACAGTGTACATACTTCTATGCAGTGATTTCATATGATTTTGATTTTGGATTCATATGACCTGTGGGTGGCGCTCGCTCACCTCTCGGAGAGGCTCGCCCACGGTCTGTCAGAGGCGCTCGCTCACCTGTCAGAGGCGCTCGCTCACCTGTCGGAGAGGCCGGCCGGCGGCAGCACGGTGCGGTAGTCCATCCGGACCGGGTTCGTCACGTTGGCCACGGTCACCGTCAGCGACGGGTTTACGGCTCCCGCCTGACGGACGCACGGACGGACGGACGGACGGACGGACGGACGGACGGAAGGCACTCGTCAGGCGCAGTGCAGTGGACATGATTGGACACAAAGCGCATATATACTCTGCGACTCGTGGGATAAGCATTAGCCTCATGGAAAAGGAGAGAGCAAATTAATGATCCAGACACTTCCCTAAACTAAATATGTAATATGAAAACTAAACACGCGCAGTGGGGGGGGGGGGGGCGAATTTCGTCCACCCTTTTGCTTTTCGCAAATATCTCACGCCATTATTATTCTTTGAACGTCATATTTTCAGTACTCACCTAAAATTAAACGGCGCATCTTGCCGTGAAAGCAATAAGTAAATCGATTCACAACTTTCCTAGTTACAGGGGTGTGGAAGTAGAACATAAAATCCAGCCAGAGCGGCGGCGCGGTGGTGGTGGTGGGGGGGGGGGGGGACTCTTGCAGCCGGCGCCGGACGCTTCCGTCTTTGCATTGCGCCGCTTACCACTGCTAAAAATCGGTTCCAAATTTCGTCTTTTTGATTTCCAAAGGCGCTGAGATCTTAGGGGAGCGGTATTCCCCCCCCCCCATCCCCCTTCCACTGGGCGTAGTTCTCGGAACCCTTTCACTGCGCATGTGACATTCGTCTTTGGGTATGCCTTATAAAACTGGTCACGTCCCATTGCAGCCCATCTGATGGACGGATATGGCGGCGGCGGGGCGGCTGGTGGCCGCTGACTGACCCGCGGGTATCGGACGGAGCGGACGCGCGGTGGGCCGGCTGGCGGCCGCTGACTGACCCGCGGGTATCGGACGGAGCGGACGCGCGGGTAGGCCGGCTCGGCCGCTGACTGACCCGCGGGTATCGGACGGAGCGGACGCGCGGGTAGGCCGGCTCGGCCGCGGCCCCGTACTCGGTGTAGTGCAGCTCGGCCACGGCCGTGCAGTTGAAGCTGAAGTAGAGCAGCAGCGTGCCGTCCGGCGACGGCCACACGGCCGACTCCGCGCGCAGGATGTGCTCTGTGGACCGGCAAACCGGGGGGCGGGTTGTGGGCGGAATTTCATAACATACCTACCTACTTTAGATCAAAGATGATGCATTTTCCGTTGCCCAGCAATGTGTGAGAGAGAAAAACATACAGTCACTCCACGGGTCTCGCACATTGCCCGCCTAGCCCTGCATCATAGGCGCGGGAACCGGGGGGGGCAGTGGGGGCAGTTTGCCCCCCCCCCAACTCTGGGGCCGTGGGGGCGGTGCTTCACAACTTTAAGACGGAATATGGCACTTCTTTGCAGATGTTTTTTATGAAAAAAAAAACAAGGGAGGAAAAATAAGTTGCCTTAAACCGGTGAGAAAACTAGAGTTGTGGCTACCCTAGGTTGATCTCCATTATGGTATGCCCCCCTCCCCCAGTCTGAAAGTAGTCCCCGCCCCCCTGCGCTGCATTTACATTTTTAAGGTGTCAATCATCTATAAAATCACCACGATTTTCATTTAAAAAAAAATATGCCAACCCACCAACGCATTACACCAAGATGTCGGATTTTGTTTACAAAGTATGTCATGTTACCCAATTTTCCAACAAATATAAACGTTACAACTTTTCTCCAATTCAACACTTCATTGACTTTAAAGATGATCAGGAAGTTGATGGCGAGCAATGGCATGTTTGAGCATTATTGTTAGAAAAATAGTATGGAATACCTAATAACCTTATGCTCATTCTTTGAAGGTTTTTTGGTTGATAATGAATGATTAAACTAATTCATTAATATATTTCAGCTTGCGCCATCTTCAGAATGTACAAAAACACAAACATAAAATATATTAATGAATTAGTTTAATCATTCATTAACAACCAAAAAACCTTCAAAGAATGAGCATAAGGTTATTATTCCATACTATTTTTATGATCAAGAAGGGCGGAGATGTGATACTTTTCCACACAGTAACAACAGTGGTACCTAATGACATATTACAGAGGCTATTGGGAGTCATTTCATATGCTTTGTTAACTATCGCACAGATGGGGCGGCCAACTGACCCTTCCGGGTGAGCTATACCTACCACTCTCCCCTACCTAAAATGTCAAGGCATGTGGACAGTGCAGTTGGTCCGTTTGATGCACCAGTCGGCATTGCTGGTGCACGGTGCCTCTGGATCGGTGGGTCGTATGTGTACCTGCGTAGAGCAGGTGGGGCAGCCTGAGGCGAGTCGTCCGTACCTGCGTACAGCAGGTCGGGCAGGCCGTGCTGCAGCAGACCGGCGCGGCCGTCCGAGGTCACCGCGAACGAGTCGGCGCTGAGCGCGCGCGCCTTGTAGTAGATGTTGCCGCCGTGCAGCATGAGCAGCGCGCTGCCGGCCATCCAGGCGGCGTGCTGCAGTGCCGGGTGCCGCTCCGACCACGGCTCCGGCTTCAGCGCGCTGACCCGCCTGCCGACGACGCCGGGGCCGCAGCGCCGTCAGCACCGCTCCGGGGCCCAGTCAGCCGGCGGCAGGGGGGGGGGGGGGGACAGACTGGGGCTAACGACGGCACATTTGGTCACATTCAGTGGCGGATCCAGTCCAGGGGTGGGGGCAAAATGGACATTTGCCCCTTCCAAACGGCATAATTTTAACATTACGCCTATGCACGAGGCATGGAAAGAATCGATAAATTGTTATGGTTTGCCCCCCCCCCCAAAAAAAAAACTCTAAGCTGGATCCGCCTCTGGTCACATTTGGTGTGATTACGGAGCGAGCGAAGCGAGCGGAGTCTTATGCCTGAAACAGACTCTTTCCGCAGTCAGGAAATCGCATGCGAGAGCCTATTCAAATACATGGAAGCACGCTCGCATCAATCGGACGCACCTCCCGGATGCGATTGATGCGGGAAAATGCTTTGCCAAAAAAATGCGCACATGCCATTTACCCATCCTAGAGCGCACATGGGGGGGGGGGGTTGCCACCGCCCGCGCCATTTCGTTCCTGTTGGAGATAGAGCTTCGAGGTAAGGACCAAAAAGATTCGTTGGAAAGAGACAAATCCAATGATACCCAGTTTTACCTTCTCAGGTCAGTCATTGACCTTCCAGGTCAGGTCAAACTAAAAAAATGTTGCTGTTTTGGGTCACCGTTGGATATCAAGTGTGCTGCTTATCATATACCGATGACGATGCCGTTTGCTGGTGCCAAGCCAGCTAGAACCTCTTTGTCACACTACCCGACCATATTTTTACCGCTGAGGTCATTTCAGGTCAAGTTAGGTCAAGGTCAATTTTATGTGTTTGTATGTCTGTGTGTGTCTGTGTGTATACTGATGTGTGCACCGATTGTTTATGTGTCCATATTACATGAAATCATGATCTGAGAAGCTTTTACCAAAAATGCAGTTAAAAAAATCCACGAAAAGTAAATTCAGCTTGCCTAAAACGCAATTATTTTAGATGACCTAGGTTGACCTTGACCCTGACCTTGACATCTGTACATCGTCGAAAAACATGTTCCATGATAGGTGGGAGGTGCGCCGAAATCAAGGTGTCAAAAGCTCACAAGGCCCATAGCCAACGCAAGATGTTGAGAATTTGTCATTTGGGTCATGACATGACCTGAAAAACAAGGTCATATCTCCGAAACCAAAAACCACAGAAACTTGAAATTTTCAGTGGACATCAAAAAAGGATTGAAGAGCAGCTATACGAAAAATCAGGCTTCTAGCTCTAAAAATGTTGAGTGCAGAGCAGAAAACTACCTGGGGGGGGGGGCAACCACCCCACCCGCCCACCCCATGTGCGGGCGAGGGTTAAGATCATCATGCATATCATTCCATGGGCATTGGCGAGCTGAACACAATGAGACCATCTGTTCCTGTAAGGAGTTATAAGCAAAAAAAAACTATTGGTGACCTGTGATGACGTCACATGACCTTATAGTTGCGAGCAAAAAAGGCCTCAATTAGTCAAGGTTGGTCATATACGAAGTCATTTATGGTATGTTGGGCCATTCCGACGAGTTTTAGTGAAGAAAAAAACAGAGGGTTGATCCCCCTTGGCTAACATAATGGGGAGGTCAAGAAATTGACCTGGGCTTAGGTCATCGATATCAAAATTCCTAGATAAACAAATTTTAGCTACCAATGACCTCATTACATCCTGCAACTTTCAAAGGCCTCCGTCCTCTACTGTAGCTCTGAAACGGTGGCAAAGTTGCAAAAAGTGATTTGAGGTTGGGTCATTTGAAGTGACCTGGTGACCTGACCTTGAAAGGTAGGAGGTTCAAACTTGTACACCATGTGTAAAATTGATGGAGACATAATCATGCCAAATTTTGCGGCGGTACAGGCCGCGGTTTTATCGGAGGACATGACCGAGCAACAAGTAAACACAGCAGGTATATATGTCGTTGGCATCGGCTGAAATCCATGAAATGTCTAGGCATTACTTGGAATGCCGGAAAAGACTGATTTATTCGTAGAAATACACGTTACAGCGAATGACTGAAAATTCGAGGACATTTCATGAAATGGCAGGCGGAAACGGGGCAGTCGCTGAAATATGGCCGAAATTAACTGAGTACACTCGTTGCTTAGGCATTACACGAAATATCCGAGTAAGGACTTAGGACAGGCACTGTCTGTAACGATTACCGCAAATGTGCACGTTCACCCGTCTTTTTCGTACCCAAATCTCCAAACCTCACCGGTGGAACGGAATGATACTTTATGGTACCGGATATTGAAATCCGTGACGAGATGGCAGGCCAAGTTCATGTATCCTATGAACTTGGCCTGCCATCTCCCGTCGGACCAAGTTCATTTCTTATTTATATAATATATGTATATGTACTTATGGGTCATTCCATGTCAGTTCAGCCACTGGTGTGCGGGGTTCTTGGTGCTGCCCCTCTGCGGTTAGGAGGGACACTCACCCGCTGTTGACGCTGAGCAGCCAGCAGGGCGCTTCACCGGTGTACTCGGTCAGCTGGAACCACACGGCCGCCCGACTCAGCTCGGAGGACAGTTTAAACAGCAGCGCTATCCGCCAGCTACTGTTATTCTTAGGCCTAAAGTCGCCGACAAGTTTCGTCAACCATGCGAAAAAATAGCTGCTGTTGTGGGAAAAATATCAGGGTAGCTGATGCTTTTATAACGGCAATTATTTTTTATGTGACAAGTCAAATTGGTGGGTGATTAACGGCGAATTTTCTATTGGTAAAGCTTGGCCGATATTATATGCATTATGCGTGCAGTCGTATTCCACATGAAGTCTGAGGTGTACAGCAATAAGCGGCGGTCATCAGTGAAATCAAACATCATAGTCTCATATTATACTGCCGGCAGTCTAATACGCTAGCAAGGATAAGCACCGTATAAGAAGTACCTACGTAGGGAACTACGTGCTCTTAGTACCGCCCGGCAGGCAACAGGTTGGTATTTTTTTCATCAACAATATATCCTCAGTACATACTTGCAGTGGAAAGTTGCAAAGTTGTCGGCTCATAAAAAATATCCTAAATGATGGCTTTTATCCATAAAAAACGACAATGATTGTACCGTTGAGCTGCAAGATTGTCAGGGAATAAGGCAAGCACACGATACTGGAAGTACCTTTTTTCGCCTGCCGAAGAGAATCACGAAGTTTAGGTCTGGAGACACCAGAGCCCTCTCCGAGTGTTTTTGTCGCTGAAAGTACATGACACCGGCGTTAGTAAGCGAGCAAGAACATATAACTAAATGCTATATCACAAAACATGTCGTACATCCGATCAATGTATAGTACATCAATGACATGACATGTACATTGTACAATGTACAATGTATATCAGCTCTTGTGTGAGTGAACACATGCACGTGAAATCTTTGTTCTGGATACGGCTATACCGAAACCCTAGCCCCGTTTACATAGGGCTAGCTGCCAGATAGTGGAATTCCGATACCGAGACATTTATTCCACTAACAAGACATTTAAGGCACATTCCGCTAGTTCTGACGACTTATCCGGCCTTCTGGCCAGATAAGTCGTTTTTATTCTGTTTTTATTCATACCGGATCCTGTTTTTTATTCATACCGGTGCTCTGGTTTCATTCAAACGGCATTTGGCTCCAATTTCATTATCGAAGCTCACAGGTGAGTTTTGCCAGCTTCCAGGTGGGTGACAGCATGTGATCGCCTGAGGCGGGGGAGGGGGGGGGGGGTGCAAAATATTTTCGTCATTTAATGTTCAATGCATTCGCTGCTGTTTTTGGCACACCTGTCTGTGCATCTTATCCGCACATGTTGTGAAAATTTCATACCCAGGTCGCCTTAGGTCAGGTCACCAGGTCACGCCAAGTGACCTCAACTCAGAAAAAAATAAGAATGCTCGTCATAGCTACACCGACTGATCGATTGCCTTGAAACTTTCAGCGATTGATTAGAGTAACATTATCTATAAAATGAATATCTTGGAATTTTGTTATCGGTGACCTAAGGTCAGGTCAATTTTGCGGCATCTCCATTATAAGTCAATTGCAATGAGAGAAAATTGAGAAGCGTCTGTTTTGCACGAACGCTATTCTAGACACTCTCAAACATCGATATGTAGGTAAAATTGACACCCTGAATCGGAAAATGGCAACTGTGACCCCTCGTTATGTCGCCGAGGTCATCTCAGGTCACGAACAGAATCTAACAGTTTTTCGCTAGTAACGTCTGATCGAGGCGTGCTAGAGCGATGAAAACACCTTAGTTGTGTTCGGCTCGACGTTGCGGATCGACTGATATGCAACTTGACCTTTTCCGGTCAGGTCATGACCTTGACCTAAGGTCAACTTTTCAAGTTGAACTTTCAAGGTCAAATTATAGTTCTTCGACGCGTCTCGACGAGAGGAACACGATGCTGGCAAAAGTAATGTCATGGCTCTTTTGAGTCAAAAGTTATTGCCGAAAAAACACTTCGTAAGAACGGCTATTTTTGGAGTTTTTGCCCTCTGGAGGCTAAACCGTTGACCTGAGGTCAAATCTGAGGACAATATTCAGAAATGTCTGTAAAAGGGCTATCGAATGCGCTTTTCTGCGGCGCTGTAGCTCTACCGGTTCCCAAAATAGCCGTCGGCAGTTTCCAAAATGTTGAAATAGTCAACATTTTACCTTTGGTGACCTCTGGTGAACTGACCTTTGACCTGACCCAAAAAAATGGCTGAAGTGTTTTCGTCCTTATTTTGGACGTTCTTTCGATTGCCGCTTACCGCGTGTCGCTACATGGCCCAGGAGCCGAGTTAGAAAAGGGTGTTCAGACCCCCCCCCCGCCCGGCGCGGAAGTCTCGGAGCACCGGCCCAGCGCGAGTTAAAAAAAAAAAAAACTATAATATAGGCATTGTTTTACTGAGGCATGCTAGAGCGATAAAAACGCGTCACATGTGTTCAGCTCGACGATGCAGATCGGATGTTATGCAGTACGACGTTTTCCGGTCAGGTCATGACCTTTACCTGAGGTCACATTTTTTAGTTGACCTGTCAATGTCAGCTTAATTAACCCGCGCCGGGCCGGTGCTCCGCGACTTCCGCGCCGGGCCGGGGGATGCCTGAACACCCCCCCCCCCTCCTCCCATCTAACTCGGCTCCTGGGCCACGTAGTCACTTTCAAGATTTCAAGATTTCATTTCAAGTCCGAGGCCGAGTCAACCTCCAAAATGCGTATAGGACCCAAGTCATTGCTGACGCTAAAACTGACTCGCCAGTCGCCTGTAGCATAAGATTCCGACCTCAAACTAACACCGGCCGAATTGCCCCACCCCACCGCCAAAAAACCCTGCTGGCGGGGTAATTTGGCCGCTTTGCGAACCTTTGTAATGCGTCACAATTTAGATAAAAGTAGTTACTCGATCATTTTCAGTTAACTGTACAGGAAAGTAAAATGAATGCAACACCCGTCAGCGTTGAGTGTGCAGAAATGTGTCGTCAATTTTGAGATATATCGTTTTTCTTAAGTAAAGGCGGCCAAACTACCCCATCCTCCCCCACTTTTCCAAAATTCACTTTTTTACAATCCTCCTGCAGGAGCTCTCTGCCAGCTCTCTCCCGACTCTCCCGGCCCTCTCCCGACTCTCCTCCGACTCTCTCCCAGCCCTCTCCCGACTCTCCCAGCCCTCTACCGACTCTCCCGGCCCTCTCCCGACTCTCTCCCGGCCCTCTCGCGGCCCTCTCAGGGCCCTCTCCCGACTCTCCGGGCCCTCTCCCGGCCCTCTCCCGGCCCTCTCCGGGCCCTCTCCCGACTCTCCCAGCCCTCTACCGACTCTCCCGGCCCTCTCCGGGCCCTCTCCGGGCCCTCTCCCGACTCTCCGGGCCCTCTCCCGACTCTCTCTGTTGCAGCAGCGCCGGCCGGTGAGCCGATCGATCCAAGTAACTGTTGCTCCGTCCGGACCGGCGGCGGGGGGAGGGGAGGGGAGGGGATGGGTGGTGCCAGCTGCAGCTGCCGCAGCCCCGAGAGTGGGGCGAGCGGCCAGCCGGCGGCGGCAGACTGTTTACCGCCCCGGGCAGCGCTGGCAACTCTGCACAGGCGCCGGCGGGCAGAGCTGGCCACTGCAGCTGTGCTGAGCGAGGTCAAAATGCTTGCCAACGCACCGTCCATTGGCCTGCCGTTTTTGGCACACCTTATCATACTTTTTTCTGTACATTCTGTGAAAATTTCAGACCAACGCCAGTCAAGGTCAGGTCACCAGGTCACGTCAAGTAACCTCACCTCATGAAAAGTTGCAAAGCCTGTCATACTTACACCGAGTGACCAATCACTTTGAAACTTTCAGCAATTGATAAGGGCAGCCCACTGCAGTATGTACAAAATGTATATCTCGGAAATTTGATATCGGTGACTCAAATCAATTTTGCGACCTCTCCATTATATGTAAATAATTGAAGAAAAAAGAGCACAATTTGGAGCTGCCAGGGAAAGCGTTTGGATGATTTTGGTTGGACTGGAGCGGAAGGCTTTCGTACCGGTCTCGGCACTAGCATTATATAATAATACGTTTGATTGAAGGGGCCTGTCGCTGCCTCGAGCTGCACGCCTTCAACTGCATGCTGCAACTGCAAGCTGGACTGCTGCACTGCCACCCCTGCTCTGCACGTCTGCACGCCTGCACGCCTTGCCTCGTTGTCAGTACCACTAAGTGTCAGCCTGGTTGCTATTTCCTTTGCACGCTTGCTGCAGCACCCTTGTGACGCCCAGTCTCAGACCGCAACCTGCCACACCTGTCCTTGCACCCTGTTTGCATGAAGATTGTTGAACTATGCGTCGGGGTAACCAAAGGAATAAGGGAACCAGGGGAGCGAAGAGAGACAGGAGTGCAAGTGTGTCTAACCCTCCAACCCAAAGGGGTGAGGAGTGCCTCTGCGGTACTTGTGGCGATGATGTTGGCCCTGACCCTGTGGGATGTGACAAGTGTGAGCAGTGGGTGCATGGATCACAGATGTGTTCGGGACTGCCGCTGGAGCTCATTAATGCTATATTAAAGTATGATGGGGCAGGGATTCAATTTATATGCATGAAATGCAGGGTCGAACAGGTGACCGCTCGGGGCAATTCCCCAAGTGGCCACACAGACCCCCACCTCGCGGAGACTGTCAAACAGCTGCATGTCCAGGTGAAGGGAATGTGTGCTGTGATCAAGGAACTCACCTCTCAAGTCAAGGAGCTTTCTTCCAGAACTCCCCAACTCCCCAACCACGATGCTGCTTTGGTGAATGTGCAGGGACAAACCGCTGCTCCTCATCCCCTACCACACCAGCCTATCATTGCCACTAACCCCTCTCAGGACTACCGTGCCCTCATTAGGGAGGAGATGAAGGAGCAGAAGGAACGGGACAAACGCCGTGCCTTTGTCGTAATCAAGGGTTTGCCTGCCTCATCTACCACTGAGTTCAAGGCCAAGTTCACTGAGTTTGCCAGGAATCACACAGGGACTAGAGTAGAAGCTTCTGAGGTACTGGCTATCCCTGGCCAAAGTAACTTCTTCAGAGTCAAAATCCCTGATGATGAAAGTAGAAAGCTCTTGCTGGATAAAGCCAAACAGCTAAAGGATTCTGATGACTATAGAGGCATCTTCATATCTAGGGACCTGACTTATGCCCAGAGAACTGAGCAGTACTTGAGACGCAGGCAGGCGCGGCAGGCCCAGGAGCCCCAAACTGGAGATGGAGATGGAGCTGTGCAATCTCGCCAAGCCTCTTCAGTGACAGCAGGGGGTTCCTCGGCTGCTAGAGCTGACAATGCTGATCACCCTCCCCAGGCTCAGGCTGCTGCTGCTGCTCGTGATGCCCCTTCCACCTCTGTCGCGGGAAACTGAATGATCTGCCTAAATCTACCCTGATTCGTCTTTCACAGGTCAATCTCAATGGCTTAAGCTCCAAGGTGAACATGCTTTTTGATTTTGCAGATTCGTCAAAACTTGACATTGTTTGTGTTACTGAATCTCATCTCCTCCAGCACATTCCAGACTCGTTTGTAAACATTCCTAACTATAATCTCATTAGAAATGATACTAATGGTACAGTGTACAAACATGGTGTATGTGCCTATGTGCATAACAACATCACTGTTGGTAATGTTCAAGCTCCAATTCCCAATGTTCTCACCTTCTGTCTTGTGTCTTATAATGTTTTTGTTGCTGTAGTCTACCGACCTCCCTCTTATTCTGACACTGAGAACGAACTTGTTTGCTCCTTTCTAAGTAACTTCTGCAGTGATAAGGAAGTGATATTGTTAGGAGATTTCAATCTTCCTGGACTTGACTGGTGCCATGGAAATCCACTTAATAGTTCAGGAGGATCGAGAACAATCCAAATGTTTGTTGACATATTTAACTCTCTTGGACTTACGCAGTGGGTTACACAGCCAACCTACCCGAGGTCAGGCAATACACTGGACCTGGTCTTCACATCTGAGCCAGACCGTATTGGTCAACTAATGGTACAAGCCCCTCTCCCAGGTTGTGACCACTGTCCGACGATATGTGACTATGTCTTTGAAAATGTTGCTGCTGACCCTCATGGGAGGACAATGTCCCGCAGGAGAAACTGGCACAAAGCTCGATATGCTTCAATGCGTAGATCACTACAGCTCTTGGACTGGGACTTCGAGCTGGCCTACCTGAATGTGGAGGACTCGTTTAACCGTTTCACAGCCATCATTTCAGAGATGGTAGACCTACATGTGCCAACACAGCAAGCTAATCCCCCTAAACCACCCTGGAAAACAAGACCCCCGATTTCCTTAATTCACAGGCGCCAGGCAGCTTGGCAGACGTACAAGAGGGTGAGGCAGCAATCTGGCAGAAGCTCTACTGGTACACTGGCCGCATATAAGCTTTTCTCATCTGTAAACCGCGAGTTGCGAAATTTTGCCGCCAGATCGCAGTGTGATTACGAATCTAGTCTTATTGACAGGTCAAAGGACAACCCCAAACTGCTCCATTCTTATATAAGAAACAAGAAGACTGGCAGACCAGCGGTTGGTCCCTTGCTTTTGCAATCTGGTCACCATACTGATGATCCCACAGCTATGGCTGAGCTACTTGCAACATCTTTTGCCTCTGTATTCACCACTGTCACCCCCACTAACCCCTCGCCCCACCAGGCCTTCGACGGGACTCTCAGCCATGTAGAAGTATGTACAGAGAATGTTCGCCATGCTCTCAAAGATCTCGACCCTAACTCTGCCATGGGCCCCGATGGAATACATCCACAGGTATTGAAGGAATGTGCTGATGACCTCGCCTACCCTCTACAGATTATATACACGAGATCACAGAGAGAGGGACGACTACCCTCTTGCTGGAAAAAATCCCTAGTTATACCTATTTTCAAGAAGGGCTCCCGGTTTGATCCACTAAACTATAGACCTATCAGTCTGACGTCTGTTGTGTGCAAAACGATGGAACGCCTGATTTGCACGCAGATACGTAATTACCTGGAAACGAACTCACTGCTGACCTCAAACCAATTCGGTTTCAGGGCTGGCAGAAGTACAATGGACCAGCTACTCCTAGCTTATAACACAGTGTCTAAAAACATGGACCTTGGTGGCGTGACTGACGTCATTCTCTTCGATTTCAGTAAGGCGTTCGATGTCGTCTGCCACGATCTCATGATAACCAAACTGAGATCGATTGGTTTGACAGGTGCTCTCATTGACTGGATACGTTCATTTCTCCAGGGCAGACAGATGCAGGTGTGTGTGAAGGACATGATAAGCCAACCTAGGGTTGTCAGCAGTGGTGTACCGCAGGGCTCTGTCCTTGGGCCCCTGTTGTTCCTGGTTTATATTGACGGCGTAGCATCACAGCTGAGAAGTGAATATAAATTTTTTGCAGATGACCTGAAACTTTATGCCTGTGTGAAACATGCCCCAGGAACCTCACCAGTGTTATCCTCTGCCCAAGTACAAAAAGACATTGATACACTGCAAACCACAGCAGCATCGTGGTGTCTGAAAATGAACCCAAAGAAATGTGCAGTTCTCCGCTTTGCGAGGCCCCGCGCTAACTTGCCTTCACCGGTGTACTTCCTTGATGGACAGCAAATCCCACATGTAGATTCTCACTCTGATCTTGGTGTTACTGTCGACTCGCAGCTTAAATTTCACGAGCACATTAGGACTGTTGCACACAAGGCTAGCGGTCTGGCCCATAGTTTTCTTAAGTCTACCGTTTGCAGGTCTCGCGCATTTATGTTGTTCTTGCTCACTACTCATATCCGACCTGTTATAGAATACTGTTCATGCTTGTGGCATACAGGTTATCTGAAAGACTTGCGGGTCTTAGAAAATGTTCAGAGGAAGTGGACAAAGCGAGTGGATGGAATGAATGGATTAAGCTATGCAGATCGCCTACAGTCCTTGAACCTGTATTCTGTCCAAGGGAGGCTCATTCGTGCGGACTTGATACAATGTTGGAAGCTGTTTAACGGTAGATCGTGCCTGAGTCCAGATGACCTGTTCGACCGCCCTCCACAGGAGCGGACTAGGGGCCACTGCTTTAGGATTTTCCCCACTCTCACCCACACAGACACTAGAAAGCGCTTTTTCTCTGTCAGATGCATTGCTGTTTGGAACTCACTGCCTGAGGATGCTGTCCGTGCACCTAACATAGCTAGCTTTAAGAAAATGATTGAGGTACATGCACGTAATAGCCTGTTCAGATATGATTGAGGATGAGCAGTGCTGATTTTGTAAGTAGTTATAGGTATGTAGGTTACTTCCTCGTAGCTAAGCGTGTAGAAATGTGACTGTGTTCATCTGACGAGCTTGTGGAAGACGCACAATACCAGTCAAAACTCCCAGGACTAATGGTCAAGAATATCACAACTGGGCTGGCGCGTCTGGCATTCAGGGTTCCTTCCAATTCCTTTCGGTCCTTCCACCTTGCCTTTTCTTTCCGACACAAATGGGAACCCAACCAGGTAAGAGAACAGGTAAGAGAAGCAAAATAACACTTGAGAGGACTTTTAAAGGCAAAGCCGTCCGCAGCAGCCAAAGCTCCGCGGATTCAGTCGCTGAACGGGTGGTCACCATGTCAGCCACAAAACGACGCCAGTCGACCGAAAAAGTGGCAAAGTAGCTAACTGTGGCCCGGTAACCGATATAAGCCATGATATAAGATATCACGATTTACACAAAAATCCGCAGAAATTCGAAAATTAAAATAAGCCTCTCAAACCCTCGTGGTGACCAAAAATCACAAATTTACAGCAAGAGTGTCGATCAAAGTTTTCCAAAAACCACCAAAGTTGGACAGAGGAGGACGGGCAGCTGATTTCGTAGCTGGGGAGACATCTTTGAAGCTGTTTCAGCCGTCAAACCTGCAGAACAACTTCGTTTGGAGCTGCCGATGCGCCCTATGTCCCTCCCGTCCCAACCTTCTTAACCATCCGGCGAGCACATCAGTGGGCCATGAGTCCCTGGGTGGTGTCAGAATTGCATGGGGCGCCAAAAAAAGGCACCAAAATCAACTCTACACTATACAGCCAGTGAAACATCCTCACAGACGAGTGTCTCTGTCTATTCCACCGTGCAGCAAAAGGGGCAAAATGATTAAGCGCACTTCTGTGCCCAACGCAAAGAAACTGCTCTTCGTGATTGGTTAAGTCCTTGCTTTCACGGCCAACAAAACGCAAGACTGGTGCTGTGAGAACCATAGGCGGCGGAACCGGGGGGAGGGGGCACCGGGGCACCGTGCCCCCTTGATTTTGCCATTTTAACGTTAGCCCTACGGGCATTGCGTGGAAGGAATGGGACCAAAGGTCGGCGGCAGCCCCCCCCCCCTCCTTGAAGGTGTTCCGCCGCTACTGTTCAGAACTTGGTCAGAATCTGCTTTTTCTTCAGGATATAAAAGCTGATCTGGGAAACGCCCAGACCTCAATTCGATTAAAAATCTCTAGGTGACTCCTCAGCAGACCGTCTAAAAGCTGCAAGGAGCCATCAATACCGATTGCCTCACTTGACAGCTCCAGTAGGTGTGGGCTGAGCTTTGGCCATTTCTTCACATGCTGATGTCAATCATGCCGGAACGCCTATGTCGATGGATCGCAACTAGATAAGGATAAAGTAAAACATATATTTCTTATGTCACCGCCGTTTGTTTTTCCATTGCGAAAGAGTATGTTCGCATATGCAATTACTTTCCACCTTGTACGTATGCACCTACCGCTCACACAAGCTTCAAGCATCTGCAGCGTAAGTAACGATAGGAGTGAACCTTCGGAACGTTTTCTTTTCTGGGGGTGGGGGGGGGGGACAAAGTCGGCAGACTGTGGGGCGGTTCAGCGCCGCCCGCGCTGGTGCCGTACCATGGTGACGTTGCTGACGAGCACTGTGGTGGCGTTCCGGAGCACGTGGTACGCCGACACACCGCCGTCGTCATCACGGTACGTGATGACGTCATCTGAGAAGCCACCAGCCATTGTCACTGACCGCTCCTCCGAGAGAGAGCATTACGAAGCACTGCTAACCACTTCTTGTTAATGAGAAGGTCACAATTGTAATAAAAAATTGGATCTATCAGCAAAGATATAGTTCCAATCACAATTCTTACCCTGGAAACGTGAATGTCATCCAAAGGTAAACATTTCATTTATGAAGAAATGCTTTGCCTCACGTTTAAAGACAGCTAGTTTAAGGTAACTGAAATTGATAGGGTCATGCCTTTCTTACAATTACAAATGATACGGTTGAGCGTCTCTAAACTAACTTTCAAGAGTAGCCGTTGAATCGTCTCACGTCTTTGTCCAATGACCATGTGGGTCAGGGCTGCGTATACACTCAAAATATCTTATCTCAGTCAAAAGATAACCGTAAGTACCTGTGATCCAAGCGGCATCGTCGTGCTGAACCCTGTAGGTGGACTTCACAATGTCTTCCAGAGTAACAAGGTGACCTCGTATTCTGTAAGCACAGACATAAATACTTAAAATCATTTGGTAGCTATCGGATGCGATGGTAAACAAAGACAAATTATTGACACAATTTGTCTTCAGAAGTTCAGTCCGAGTGGACGGCTGTTGGTCCAGCTGCCGCGTAAAGCGGCGCTTGTTGCGAACGACACCACGGACCCACCACCAGACACTGCCCGCGCCCGGAAATAATTTAAATCGAAATGTTAATGTACCACCCATAGATGGCGGCACGGTCCTGCCCGGTATAGCATGATCCTCTACCGCCAGCTGTAATGCATTGCTGCTGTCATTATACCTACATGCATCAAGAATACATGTAGATTGTATTGGCAGAAGTAGGACTTTGTTATGGGTTCTGTATAACCTCGCGTGTTATAGGCAATTTAGAGGCGTGTATAATATTTTACTATAGTAGTGTTGCATGCAAGAACTTTGTATCGCCAACATGTCTGAAAGGAAATGCCAATCATTCTAATTCGTCCCCTAGAAGACAACGCTTGACAGGCATTCAAGGAAATTTCAAGACTGCAGAAAACACCGAGTTCTTTGCAGGACTGCACAACTGTCGCCGACACGTCGGGGCAGCCACCCAAGTAGCGCTGGCATGAGCCAGTGTCTGCTGACACCGCTGTCAGCCCGGCACCGCTGTCAGCCCCGGGCCCCGGCACCGCTGCCCCTTCCGGCGCCACCACCGACTCCGACACCGGCTCCGCCGCCAGCACCGCCACTCCCAGCCCTCGGTATTATTTAACCATCTCCACCGCCACTCCCAGCATTATCCAACCATCTCCGCCGCCACTCCCAGTGTTATCCAACATCTCCGCCGCCACTTCCAGTGTTATCCAACCGTCTCCACCGCCACTCCCAGTGTTATCCAACCGTCTCCACCGCCAGTCCCAGTGTTATTGAGCCATCTCCATGTCTTCCAGAGTAACAAGGTGACCTCCCCGTATTTTTCGACCAGCTGCTCTAATAGCACTCCCAGGCCAACCATCTCCACCGCCACTCCCAATATTATTCCGCGTCCCGTTGGGAGGGAGAGGGGCAAAAAGGCTCCCTCTCCTTTTCTGCAGATATCTCCCAGTGCTGCAGATATCGTCACCAAACTTTCAGGACCCCTTTGGGATTCATTTAACCCCATGTGCTCCCCCCCAAACAAAAATCAGAAGCCATGATAGGCTGGCCGCAAATGACGTCAGAGTGACGTCAGACTCCCCTATTTTCGACCCAAAAAGTTTTCGCGAAGAACTGTTACGCCTAGAGTTTTGAAGGTAGAGACACATTTATAGCACGTAATTGGTCGGATGCACGAAGGTCCCCTAGCGATTTTATTTTAACCCACGCCCTGCTGAAGATGTTTGAACACGCCCTGTGGTTTTCGGCACACCTTATCATGCATCAATTCTACACAATACACATGTTGTGAAAACTTCAGACTAAGGTTATTCAAGGTTAGCACCTCATAAAACGTTTCAATGTCTGCCAGCTATTAGCTACACCGAGTGACCGATCGTTTTGAAACTTTCAGCGATTGCTAAGAGCAATAGTATGTACAAAATTGATGTCTCAGAATTCTGATAACAATGACCTAAGGTCAGATCAACTTTGCGACCTCCCCATTATAAGTCAATGGGAGAAAACTGAAATTCGCCTCTTTTTGACTCATGATCCAGCGCAATTCTCCACCTAAATCCATTCCTGACTCATATTTGCTTGCTCATAAGACATAAGACATAAGACATAAGACATTTATTTCACATGAATCCGATTTATCGGTTTTTCATCCACGTACGTCATGCAATAAAAACACGAACATAAGAGCAGGGTGTAAAATACAAAACACATCCCATCACATCATCACATTTGTCCCTCACACTCACTATGACTACGGTACCGGTGATCGTCCCGCATCGTCCCTATCCAGACAGTGAAATAGTGCTGTCCTGAAAGTAGTCTTGTTTTGTGTTTGAATTTTGCGTACCTTGTTATAAAATTGGATACCACTGTACGCCAGCTGTCGTCTTCCGGTCTCGGTCCGGATCGGCGGTACTCTCAGCTCGTCTGACTGCCTGGTCGTACGGCGATCAGGGCGATAATCGCTGGCAGCTATGCATGTGTATAAAGCCTCCGGGCAACCGGAAGTGACAACTTTATGTACAAGAGTGGTTCGATGGTACGCTACTAACTGATCAGCGGTCAGCCAGTTTAAGTCGCGAATGACTTGTGAAATGTGGTCGTGCTTTCTTAGTCTGCTAATTACTCTGGCAGCAAAATTGATAACTTTCTGTATTCTGTGGCGCTCAGTTTTTGCACATGTTCCGTAAATGGACACGCAATACCTGATTGAGGAAAAGACAAGAGCGGTAACAATAGGCTTGATCGAGGCTTTTGGGAGCGAGTGTTTGGCATGCATAAGTGCAATCAGTGTACCACTACACTTGGCTACGACACTGTCGATGTGATTGGTAAATGTCATGTAACGGTCCATGTACAGGCCTAAATTTTTTACTACTCTCGACTCTGTAATGATGTTTCCATTGAAATTAATACTGATTTCAGGTACATTTTTCAACATTGCTTTAGAACCAAAAATAATGAGTTGAGTTTTGTTGGCGTTTGTTTTGAGTAGGTTCTCCGCGAACCAATCGGATACTCTGATAAGTACTCTCTGAAGAGTTTCGATCATCTTGGGCAGTTCAGTCTTTGGACCAGTAATTGCTAGCTGAGTATCGTCAGCAAATGTGATGCCTTCGACTTCGTCTTCGATATATAAAGTCATGTCTAACGAGTAAATGCTGTACAAAAGGCAGCTCAAAGACCCGCCCTGATAGCCGGCTGATACACTCCGGTATCATTGGGTAGTATGCCGGAAATAATCTCCTGTCCATCAGCTCCGCGAGCCTTGACCTGCTGTGTGTGGCCTAATAGATAATCGGTAAACCACTTCAGGTCAACTCCGTACAAATTTAACTTTCTGAGCAAGATCTGATGGTTCACAGTATCAAAACATTTGCTGAGGTCCAACATTACCAGAATGGTGACGTGGCCCCGATCAATGCCTTTATATATGCGCTCTGTCAGTACAGAAAGGGCTGTCTCGGTCGAATGTGCCCGGCGGTAACCGTGTTGATTGGTGCTGAACAAATGATTTTCAATGAAGTATGAAGCAAGTTCTTGTTGGACAATTCGCTCTACCACTTTAGTTATGGCCGGCAAAATTGATATTGGTCGGTGATCTACAGGCTCCGTGGCATTAGCCTTCTTCGGTAATGGTGTGATCACCGCATGCTTCCAAGAGCTGGGGACCTGGTTTTTTGTCAGACTTGAGTTCACAATGTTAACCCTATTCCTGGCGGGGGGGCCTCAGGAGCCCCCCCCCCCCCTGAGGTTTTTTGGTTATATCTCCCAAACGCGTTGAGCTAGGAAGCTCAAATTTTCTGACTTTTCCTAAAAGGCTTCTACGCAACATGTCTGAAAATTTTGAGTTGATCTGACCTCAGGTCAGGTCACCAGAGGCGGTTTGGTGACGCTACCTCAGAAAAGTTTGCAATCACGCCAGAGCTAGAGTTTTTGACCGATCAATTTCTTCTCTTCAGGGTTTAGTTAGGGTACCAGTATGTGCAATTTGTATATCTCGGAATTTTGATATCGGTGACCTAAGGTCAGGTCAATTTCGCGACCTCCCCATTATAAGTCAATGGGGGAAAAATCAACTCCCTGTTTTTACCACTAAAACGGGTCGGAATGGCCCCATATACCATACATGACTTCATATACGATCAACCTTCACTACCTTGAGGTCTGTTTTGCTGTTGGGCAGCTGTGAGGTCAAGTGACGTCATCAAAGGTCACCAAAGGTTTTTGGCCAATAACTCCGTACAGGAACAAGATACAGACGCGTGGATGGTCTCATTGTGTTCAGCTCGTCAAGACGCATCGAATGATATACATGATGACCTCGAGGTCACGTGACCTGAGGTCAACCTTTGACCTTGACCTTTCGAGGTCAACATATATATCATTCGATGCGGATTGACGAGAGGATCACGATGATGCCCTTAGTTTGTTCCTATCTTGACTAATTCGAAAGTTATTCGAGAAAAACTCTCTCCATATCTAGTGCCGCCATTTTGACTTTTTCGACCCCTGTGACGTCATCTTTGACCTGACCTGAAAATGACCTTAGTAAAAATTGTAGATCTTGGCCGTGCGTATCCGATGCCGTTTACCGCTTGTCGCTATCTTGCTTCGTTCTCGAGATCTCAGGGGGGGGCCGAATCGGCCCCCCCGCCAGTTTCTTGTCCCGGCGGAGCCCGCCAGGAATAGGGTTAAAGGGACCCTCCCACCTTAACATTAGATTTGAGTTGAGATAGCCAAAATGGGGTCCCTGGCTCACAATTACCGGTTTCGGCACTCACAACATCGAGAAATGCCTTAAATCGGAAATATTGAATTTCAAAATTGCAGCATTTTGATTCAGAGGGGCTAATGCTTAGGAATACCCCTCTGAATGTGTGACGTCAGCGCAGATATCTAACGACTTTTAAATGTTTGACTAAAACGTTTTGTAGCACGCGGTGGTATATGCTATTTGCGCGCAACATCTGCCGCAAACGCCACACTTCTGAAATAAAGTCGCTAGAAACAGCGGAGATCCCAAAAAAGTAAACAAAAGTAAAAGTCAAATATCTTGAAAATCGGTGAATATTTTTCGGTGAAATTTGGTAGATATTCGTTTTCGCTCTTTATGAACCGAGCGACATCACTTTCATGCCAATTCATAAACTTTTTTGAAGGTGGGAGGGTCCCTTTAAGCAAGACATGCCCTATTCCATCGAAAAACTTTTGCATCATCTGCACGCTGATCCCGTGAGTGCCTGTGGAGGTTGAAGGTTTCATGTTGAAAACAACCGCGCGCAATGTGTCGATGTCGATAGTTGACATTTTAAATCTACATGTATGTACGCGTGGTAGCCTCACATGCACATG